TTTTTCAATTATAGAGAACTCTATTAAAAGTCTGCTGAGTAACTTTTATATGTTCTGTTTAAGAATAACAACACTGTTATTAACATGTTATCTATATTCTGTAACCAATTCTTTTTGCTTGACAACTCTGTTATTATTTTTATTGTATATAGCTATCGCTTTTAAGCATAGGCTCAACGCAATTCAAATGTCGCCCAAAGCTATGCAATAACAAATAACAATAAAATATGAAAATATATCAAGCTATGCCTGTAACCACGCCATACCAATATTGCCATAAAAAACTACCTTTGCATATTACATACACATATATATTTATTTATATGTGCGGGATATATATTTATATAAAATATGATATAGTTTATAAATATATCAATAGGATCTAGGCCTCTGCCGCTGCTGCTGCCGCCTCCGCTGCGTCGCTAATACGCTGCATGGCATCAATGATCTCATTGGCCTTGTCCGTTGCACTCACAATGTTCTCATTGTCGCTCTCATTCTCGTTCTGAGTTTCATTGTCATTGTCGGTCTCGTTCTCCTCGGTGTCTGGCAGATCACTGTTCGTTTCGGTACGTTCGAGCATCTCGCGCAGTCGCTGCTCCGTGTCCAGATTCTTGAGATGATTGTAGCACAAGTGCAGTTTGTAGGCAGCCTCGCAGCGATTCCTGCTTTTCATATTCTTGCACTCCTTCAGCTCCGGCTTCAGGCGCTGCATCAGATTGTCCAGTTGCATTTTGAAGGCCTCCTCCAGCATCATGTCGTAGTGCATAATGCCCAGACTCTCATATAAGCAGCGCACAAAGCACTGCAACGGCTCGTTCCGCTTCATATCCAGATAGGGGGACCCACTGACATAGTCCATTTCAGGCGCATTATTGACGGCATTCAGCTCAGCTTCCCCATCGACGGGAGCAATGGCCAGCTCATTGTCTGAGTTGTTGTTGTCGTTGAAAAGCAGGCTAAGCCGAAAGAATTTCAACTGCGACATGGATATCTCCGTCTCCCGCATGCATGACTGCAGCAAGTCCTGACTGAGCTTCGCTTGCTGCCTTGTCACAGTCTGTTCATCCAAAACGCTGCGCGTCAAGGACATGTTCAGGGACACAGAGACCGACCGTGCCTAGGTAGAAGATAATATGGCAGCTGATCAACGCTAAGAGCTCCGTCCTATCAATTTTTCTCTTACCCAAACTGGATTCAGACACAGACACAGACACTGCGCCAAGAACAATAGGGAGGCTCGAGTATGCATTTAATATGATTGCGAAGTGGTATTTGATTTTCCTTCCAATTTTTTAGAGCACTTGGAAACGTATTCAACTATATATGACACTGACGTGTGCACTGTTTAACCTTATATAAGGTACAGATTGTTGGGCTTAATTCGTGTTTAATAGCTATAAATAACTTTAATATTCGCACGCCTGACCAGACGCTGATCGGAAACGGAAAGTACAGCAAATTATTTTTTAATATCACTATTTCATGCTTAATGCTCAAATTTTGTGTATCTTATTTTATAATGATTTATAATGACTGCGATGAGTCCAGCTACTTTTTGCAGATAAATAACATTTAAAAGGAAACGCCTCAGTGCGTGGCTACAGATTATTAGCCACGTTTATGTAATGCTTTAAATATGACACATTGAAATAATGGAGTATATTTGTACAACTAAAAGTACACCCAAATGATCTAAATGCTATTAAACTGTTGTTGTTGCAATGAAAATAGCATCGATTATTAATGTTAAGGAGCTCAATAATTTGGGTTTGCATTACTATAATTTAATCTATTTTAATTATACATAATTAATAATTTGAAGTTTTTGAAGGAAATAAATGCTTGAACGATACCATTAATTAAAAATCTATATATTTAAAAAATTAAGTTAGGTTAGCTGATGATGATGGAAAATAAATTGAATTTTAAGAGTTCTGGAAACACTTATATATATTAATTACTTACAGTAATTTCATATATTTTATAACAATAAGTTTTATTTATTTTGAGAAATTTTTCTTTATAAAATATTTTCTTAAAAAAATATTTTCTTTTACTCTTCCAGCAATTACTTAACTCGATGGATGCTTTTGGCAATTACTCAAGTAATGCGTCAAATCGGAGATTTTTATTAACTCGAATCGCAGTCCATTGAAGTCTCGGCTGCTAGTGGTGTTGGCCCTAAAAGCAATACCTAATTGATGAACTCGACAAGAGACGTGGGCTGATTATCTGGAGCAGCAAACGGCAACAGGACCTGGTCGCAGACACATGTTTGTCTTTAAGATCAAAGTAAAGACAGCTGAACTGTCAATGCCACAATGCCAATGTATATAGTGTATCTAACAACCCCCCGAGCGGAGTTTTTATAAAATTAAATTACATTAATGTGAGAACCGCAGGCAGCCAATCCAGGAGCCCCACGCCAGGGCAGACTCATTGAGCCAACTAACAAGGCGAACAGGACAAGCGAAATAAGAAAAGTTGCCCGCTCTGAAATGCTCAGCCTGGCTGTCGCTGTGCCAGTCTGTCTATCTGCCCATCCGTCCGCCCCTCGCCAGCCGTCCAATGTCTTGCTGTCTGTCAAGACAAAGGCTAGAGCAGCATCAATGTGTTTGTCCCTTTGGCAGCGTCCGCAGAGCACGCGTGTTGGGGTTTCTTTGACAAGCCGCCAGCGCAGAAACCACGAGCTGTCTACTTAAATGCATTAGCCGGACAGGCAGGAGGCGGGGTGAGTGGGCGGCATCGAAGGCATGGGCGGTCTTGGCGGAGTGGGTGTGGCAGAGGGTGCTTTTTAATAGACATTAGTAAACGCATCAGTGATTATGCCAAGGCTTTTGTGCAGACAACTGCAACTGAAACGGATGCTAAATGGAAGTGACAGCACAGTTCGTACTGCCAGGAAGTGACAAAATGAATTATAGACGCCAAGCTAAGCCCGACCATCAGTCAGCCTTTCAGTCAGTCAGTCAGCCAGTCAGCTGGCTGGCGCCCAGCTAATGGTCGCCAAATTCCCCAAACATTTGTCTTTTCAGTGCTAAAAGTAACTTAACGAATTCACGCAGCTCACAACCCTATAAAAGGTGTTCTTCATACACATCCCCCAATCGAAACTCTGCGCACACCTCACTGACCCACTGGCAATTGCAATTGCGCCACGTGCTCAATGAATGTTTAATGATTTGTTAATTGGATTTTGGCTTTTGAGCAACAACAACAACAACAACAACATCGACAACGACAATAAAAGGTCAAGCCCTTAACTTGTGCCTATTCATTTGTAGCAAACATTTCGCATACGTCGTGTGGGTCGCACTTTGTATAAAAATATAAAAAAAATAAGGAAAGGTAAAGCTAAGGCTGAAGCGAAATCGAAAGTTTTTCAAGCGACGCTCATCAATATTTATGCATTTGAATAAACGTGCAAATACCTAAGGGACGCAGGGACTTAACGTCTGATGCGGGTCTGACAATTGGCATCTAATGATCCCCAACTGTTATGCAAATGTTCTTTAAAATATTCCAACTGAATTCTAAAATAGAAACAGCATCAGTTATTAGTCAAAATGAACAGGGTTTCATTTATTAATTATATTTTAAATCATTTTAATTATTTATTTCAGAATTCAATTAATAAATTTGCCAAATTTTATTAATATTTTTAAATTAATATTTTATTCTGAAGAACTTAATTTATTTGTATTTTACTAATTTTTTACTGCGTTTACTTATAATAATTGTATATATATATTTTTTTTTTTTTAATTTCAATATAGATTTGATTATTATTACAATTTTTATTCAACTTTATTTAAAGAAGTTTTTCTTAAAATGGTTTGTTTTGTTTTAATTAATTATTAATTTATATGTTTCTATAATATTTGTTGTTTATTTATAATGTAGTATAACTTAAATAAATATTTTTTATATTATTTTATTCAACTTTAATATTTATTTATTAAATTATGATATACCCTATCAAAATGGCATTTAGTTTGTATTGAAATTTAATAAATTATTAACATTCCTTTCATGGCATATGCAACTAGAAAATATATTTATATTTTAACATTCTCAATAGTTAATTATTATGAATATTTAAATATATTTTTGCTATATGCATTTATACAAAAATTTATTAAACTATCTAATTAGTATAGGGTATCGCCGGATGGAACACTTACTTTGTAGAATTTGTTTTCTTAAAATATGATGTTACTAGATCCGAATACAGAAAAGACAAATCATCAAATATTATCACATCGTTATCCTCATAGCACTTGCTTAATTTTACGGCAAAATCACATTTTTTTTCTCTGGATCGCTCAATATCGCATTTGGCTTGCGCAGCTTTAACCTTTTCCAAGCCGGCTATGGGAGCCATTATTAGAAGCACCGTATCTGTACTAATCTGTCCATTTATGAAGAAGCCCATATTGTTCATGAAGCAGTAGGGAAAACACCGATAATTCAGAATATTACTAAAGCCCAATGGCAGGCATGTTCGCGCTGCTTGGTCCCTCAGAGCTGCCGGCAGCTTGGGATTCTGGAAAGAATATTAATTAAATTCTCATTTGTATATGCCGGTAGTATATAGTGTATATATCTATAATGCTTACACAGGCTAAACTTAAAATTAAGCAGTTTAAGAACAATAATATATATTTCATTATGATTGCTTTTACTCTTAAAATCAGCTGCTCTTTTGATAAATTTATTCTAACTGTTCTTTGCTTGCTTGAAGATATTGCTTTTATAGTATGAACTTCATTTATCGCATTAGCCATGCAATTAGTTCCATATTTAAAGAGATTTCAAGTATATCGAATATGTATGCATATATTTAAAATTTAATATATAATTGTATATACATATATCTCACTAGTTTTTTACAATCGATAGGCGATAATTTCAAATTTAATCAATCGACTCTGAATACTTATTCAATGGATCATTTCAAATAGTTTTCTTTTTTATATTATTTAAAATACTATGTATTTTTAGGAAGCTCTGATTAATTTATTTTATTTACAGTTTCATTTTATTAACGGTTGCTATTCAATTTCGTGCTAATACTTCACAGATGCTTTAGGTTAGGTTAGACTTGGAGCTGGATTTCGATTGAGTTAGATCTGAGTACGCTGCTTATAGTAGCACTGATACAATTGGAAGCCGGTGTCGCATTTATCGGAGCCCTTCAGCGAGTCGCACTTCTCCTGGGCAGCCTTGACCTTGTCGACGCCCACAATCGGTCCCAGCTTCTCCAACACGACATCGGACTTGATCTGGCCATCGGCCAATAAGCCGCTCTTCTCCAGGAAGCAGTTGGCAAAGCACTTCACCTTCTCATCCACATTCTCGAATTTGCCCTCACGCAGAGCCATAGCCTGCTCCTTGGTGACGCCCTCCTGCTCAATGCAGGCTCCAGCATTGGCCTTTGCACGGGCCTTCTGCTCGTCCGACAGCTGCAATTCCTGTAATGAATATAGAGATATATAGTAGTTATAAGAACTCCATAGCCTGCAACACTTACATCGGCAGCGACCAGAGCCACACAGGCAACGAGAACGATAAGGTATTTCATGATGTATTTGGTTGTATCTGCTTTTTACACTGCTTGTTTGATTCATCGTGCGATACGCTTTTATATCGTTTGACTTGGCGAACTTTGCCCACTTTTCGGTTCGGCTAGATTATTTTGTCTCCCTCTCTCTCTGTCTCGCACTCTCTTTCTCTCTGTTTATAGCTGGCTGATCACAAGAGAGTAATAAAATTTGTAGAAGTAGTTTATTTGATTCGCGCTTTTTTAATGATGCTCAGCTTCTGCTGTCAATGCGTCACGTTCTAAACGCTTCTCTCTATCTCCATAAAGATTGTTAGTTTTTATTAATTTTATAATTATTTTTTTGTGCACTTTATTTTGTAATCTGACGACCTTTGCAACTATTGCTGCCAGTGATTTACCTAGGTTTATTGTTATTCGCAGTGCCCACTGTTAATTGTTTATTGTAATTTGTAAAGTTAGCATTAACGTTAATTTGTTGTGTATTTTAAGTAACTTGAAGTGCCATTGAGTTCAGCGATGCAGCAAGTTTTGATACTTAGTTTTTTCGATATTATTTTTCTACTCATTATTCAGGGCTAATTCGTCCAATCAGCCCGACTAATGAGACATAATTGCATGTACTAAAAAACAAAAATGAAAATAGTTTTTTTTTTTTTTGTAATCATTTATTTTAGTAAAAATAGCACGTGTAAGCATTTATATTGTCGCTCTAATTAAATTAATGTTTTTTGTCTAGAATCAAAATAATTAAAATAATTTTTAGTGCATGACCAAACAATTTAAAATAGTACAAGATTTGTATAAGAATAGCGAAATATGCTTCAGTAATTGAATTGTCATTATCCCTAGTAATTCTTATATTCCTTTTTTATTATTTATGTCCTTCAATACTCATTAAAATTCAATGACTATGAAAATAATCATAAAGACAATAATCAATCTACAGCTGTTGTTGACAGAAACTATTAAGAGAAAGAAAACTATAGATTTCACATTATTCTCGTTTCATTTAATAACATTTAGACTTTCCCAATTAGCTTCAGTTTAATTATCTGAATATTGCGATGTCATTTTAAAATTCCACAATTAAATCGATTGCCACAGATAAACTGTGCACAGTTTAATGATAATTGCTGTTTGATGAGCTAAGCTTTCAGCCTTGTCTACTCCAGTGCACGTATATATGACAGCTCAAAGGTAGCCATCATCTGATGATATCCACCTAATAATCAGTGCCAATTATATGGCAGCTACTCGATCAATGTGTCTAGGTACATTTCCATAATTAACCCAATCGAAATGAGATGCGACAAATACGCTTGAACTGTCTTCAAACTGTTATATATTTAAGCATACCGGTTTCAAATTGATTAATAATGAGTTGACCTGGCTAGGGGGCCAGCGATATGTGTGATTGATCTCAATTCGAATCGGTGTCTGATGCCAAAGTCCAAATGCCGAAACTGGTTTGCCAAAAAGCCCAGCAAAAAAAAAATAAATAAATAAAAATTCTGTCTGTCTGACAATTAAAAAAAAACAATTAAAACATTTTACAACGGGTATTTAGTGTGTCTGGAACCGAATGGTTCAAAGTTGATGTTTTATCTCTCTCTTTTTTTCTATTTGGGTATTTTACAAGCAAGTCGTGCAACAAATAACGTTATATCGCATATATTACAAATATTTACTGCTGACAGCATCGATAATTCATGACCTACTCAAACTACCTTTAACAGTGCAACCAAAAACTTACCCAGACAAACTCATAAATAGTTACGCACGCCAACCAACCAAAAGAAGACGAAAAAAAAAAAAAAAACAATTCAACAATAATAAAACTAAAATAAAGGGAAGGACAAAATGTGAGGACTCTGGCAACGTTGCTTATTGGGTGCCATCGTCGCCTGCCAGAGCCATAACAAATATAAAATATTTAAATAGTAATAAATTCATAATGTCAACGTGTTGTTGCTGTAACTGCCATAGATTTATTGACAATAATAACGACAAACACGAAACGCGCCTTCCACAACCAAAGACAACAGATATATATATATATGTATGTATAAAGAAAGTTTGAAGGAACCTGTGACTTAAGTAGCTAAAAAACAAATATATTAGAAAGGTAAACAATTTGCCCTGCTGATACTCTATGAAGCACCGAAAATTCTCTTCATTTTGTGAAAGTTCCTCAAGAACTTTGAGTAGATTAAAGGCAGAGAATGCCGAAATCATTTGATAAATATTTCTTATATCAAAATATAATATAAAAAAAAAAAAACAAAACAAAACAGAAAAAAAAATTGTATTATATTTCATTATTATAAAGTGCATAAATAATGTTTATTAATTTTTTTGTTATATATTTTTTGTTTATTATTTTCAAAATAGAAAACATATCAATTATTTTTGAATTATTTTCAACATACTCTAGAAATAAATATGAAATTAATTTAAATACATATATCCTTTCCGAAAAAATATTATCTCATATTTAAAAAGACACCCGATTTTCCTTATGAAAAGAGGGTATCAAAAGGCAACAACAAAAGTTTCTGTGAAAAAAAATAAAATATAGAAGAAAAAAACAAACTAGATAAAATGATGGAAATGGCAACGTTTTATAACTTCATATAAGAAAATAATAAAATTCTTTTATTGCAGACATGATAGACTGTTAGGGCAAAGGACTGGGGACTAATAGCGAGATCTACCTTATATAAATACATATACATATACACTATATTAAATACTATATGGCATGCCATAAAAATATAAACAGCACATAAAACGACTATGAAAACAATGGCACACGTTACAAAAAGAGAATGAAAGAGAGAGAGAGAGAATGGGGAGAGAGAGGAGAAAGTCCTGCTAAAGCTAATGAAATGTCATTGGACCCGGGAGGGGCTGAGACGCGACTCGGGCTGTCAGGCTAAACTGAAATGCAAATGTCACGCGAAAAACTATTTGACGACAACATTACGTTGACATTATAATGCGATATGACCAAAAGAATATGCGACCCATGAGACCCAGCCAAACACACACACACACGGGAGCACTACCTGTAGTCAACCGTCAACCGTTCAGAGTCATATGCAAATTTTATTAGCTTCTTTATGGCAAGTCATGCAAAAAAAAATTTATTAGCTATGAAAATTAAAAGTAATACGAAGAAACCAATTACATAACAAAAACGGAAGAATCATAAATTTAAATTTTGTTCATTAAGAGGAGAATAATACAAAAACCGAACTAAATAAAGATAATCATTTAATTTTGCAACTGAAACTGGTTAGAAATACTTAAAAATAATAAACATGAATGATTTACTAATATTTATACAATATGCATGGATATAATATAATATATGTATATCATGAAAATGATTATGGGAAGAGCTGTTAGTAGTACTATTAAATACAATAATGTTTAATATACCTGACTTAATTAGATTTGTAATAAAAATATTTAATATTAATATTAACAAATTTAAAACAATTGTTATTCAAGCTATAAATAATAAATACAAAATAACAAAAATTAAGTATTATGCAATAGCAGAAATAAATTGATTTTATATAATTTTACATTTATATTAAATTAATCCACAGAGAATTATAAGAAAATGGAATACCAAAACACAGATATGTATCTTTAAACTAATTATAAAAGTTATATAAATAAAAACAAAAGCATATTTTTCCAACAAAACCAAATAATTATATTTTTTAAATTTATAAATATTATAAAAAAAACTTTTCTTGCAACAAACAGTATTTACACTACAGAAATTCTGTCTATATAATTAAAAATTTAGATATAACAAAGCTTTAATAACCGAATGGCCTATATATCATTTATTACTGTCACGTTGTATGGGGCTTGATCTCTGGGTTGGACAGAGAAAAAATATGCGTACAGAAATTCAATTAGGCTTATCCCGTGCAGCAACAACAGATACAGCAGCAACAACAACAGCAACAGTAGCAAGGAACAGCAGGTAAAGCAGCTGCAACACCTGCGCAATTAATTAGTATTTGCCGCATTAATTTCACAAAAAACTCGGGAGCCTCGAACCCACAAAAAAAAAAAAAAAAAAATTGAATGGGAGAAAGGGCGGCTAGGCACCTGGCTAATAAATTCACAAATGGGCCCGGCCATCAGCATCAGCAAAAGGCTTATCTAAGCCAGAAGCTCAGCTTTTGGGGCTACGCAATTAGAGCGAAAATGTGCGCCAAAGTCAGCAACGGGCCAAACAAACCACTAAAACACTAAAGCAGCCAAATCAAATAAAGCAAATTCAGTTAATTTAAATTATAATTAAGGCCAGGAACAGAGAACAGAGAACAGGGTAGGACAGGGCAGGGCAGAGCTCTGCGTTTGCTGATGCTAAGATAAAGTGGGCTTTGAAGTGGGATGTGCTTAATTCACTCGAAATGTGACCTACATGCGTTTGAGGACTTTTAATTTGGCTACAGTTTTAAAGAAACGTTCAGAAGGGGATGGCTTTAGCTACGGGAAAAAGTTAGAGTATCAAAAGTACCACGAATAGTGCAAGAGTACAATTAATCTAGTACAAAATATATTATAAATTAAAATCCTCACATGTGCTCAACTTTCCTTTAACAGTGAAAATACAGTGATATAGAGAAATGTAAATATATATACTAGTATTCTTATTTACCGTATATTTAATAAGTTAATATCCAAATAATTCGAATAGTAGTTAAAATATTTCTAGATTTTGTGAAAATATTAATTATTTAAATTTCAAAATAAAAAAATTTAAATTCAAATATATTATTTTATCCACTTATCAAATTTTTATATGAAATATAAAAATAAGAAAGTTACGAAATAATATTGTCAAACAGAATAAAATTATTCCATTTTATATAATTAGTTAAACCCTGACAACTAAAAGTGAGCCTGCCCAAATTAAATAAAATATAGAATAAATATAAACATATTATATTATAGTATATTATTTTATGTTATTATCGATAATCGACATTGAAACATTTTCATTTATGTATATCATATTAATCCCATTAGGCATTAAAT